CCGGTATTAAGAAATATTAAACACAGTAAAACTTATAAGGATTAAGAAAAATATTCATTAATACCTGTAGAAAACTCTGGCCTAAAAAATATTTTTTGTATATAGTTTTTTTAAACTTTTTTCTGTAATCTTTTTATTATTTATTTATTATTATTATTATTTTAAGATGACATTTTAAGATTTCCGTAACTCCCTCAGGTAGAGAGATGCAATCTACAACGCATCCCTTGATATTGCCCGGAACACTGAATTTCGGCCGAGGTAAAAGGACGAGGGGGGGGGAAGGAGTGTCTCCCGTCTTCCGGGCTCCCCAGGGCGAAACTTTCCATTTCTTGCTCCCTCGGCCGAGGTAAAAGGACGAGGGGGGGGGGAAGGAGTGTCTCCCGCCTTCCAGGCTCCCCAGGGCAAAACTTTCCATTTCTTGCTCCCCTTTTTTGTTATCGGCACACACACACACATGCACTCAAGAGGCTGGGGGGGGAAGGTGCCCCCCTCCTGCCAGTTCCAGCTGCCCGGTTGGCAAAGGGACTAAAAGCCGAACTTCTTTGCTGGACAAGGCAAAGCCCGGTGTCACGCTTGGAGGACGGGGGGTTCACCAAGGGGGGGCTGGCACGATCTGTGCCCCATCTTCCCCGACTGGATCCGGACCCCCGCCTGAGTGCTTCAGCCCGGGCAGCCTTTCCTAACGGGCAAACCCTGGCAGAAACATGCGCCCCCCCCGCACACACGCCATTCCTATGGCGAAAAAGCATTGGAAGGGGGCGGCTGCCCAAAGCAGGGCTTTGGAGGGGGGGGTCTCCATCCCTTGCCCATTGTCAGCAGAGAGTCAAACCCTCGCATCACCCCACTTGCTTCCCTTCAGGAGGGTGGGAGGTATCCTGGCCCACCCCAAGCAGCCGCTCAGCCCGACACCAGATTCGGGAATCTAATTCCCATATATAGAGTTTTAAAGTGGGGGCCGGAGGCATGCCAAAGGTTTTGGGCCAGATCCGTTAATTTAGCACCAACACTCACAAAAACTCTTCCCAAGCGCTCCTCGCTCTGGTGGGCGAGGGAGGCTGCAGGTGGGCGCCCGTCACACGCCTTCGGTCTCGGAAACCCTTTTTGGGCCAAAGTTGCCAGCCCGACCAAGACTCAGCAGAAGCTTCCTTCCCTGGCTGCTCCATGGGCCAAAGTTGCCAGCCCGACCAAGACTTGGCCGAAGCTTCCTTCCCTGCCTACCTTTCCCAGTTCTGGCTGCTCCGGTTTCTGTTGGGCAAGAGGCGAGCCTCCCCCACCCCATTGCTCCTTCCTGGTCCTGCTCTTTCCAGGCATGGGGGGGTTGACGAGAGCCAGGTCGGAGATCGGGGTGGCGGTGGGTTGGATCACACCGCCCTCCCCGATGCCCAGCTGGCTCCCTTGCTTTGGCACGAGGACCTGCAGAGGCGCCCGGCCACCTTGGGGGAGGATGGTTTTTTTTTGGTGGTGGTGGGGAGCGGGCAAGATTGTCCCCCACCCGGATCCGGCTGCCCCAGCTTTCCAGCGCCACAGCCCACGAGGAGGTGTCTTAAGGATCTGGAAGGATGTCACCCACAGGGTGGCCAGCTGGATGAAAGACCACCGCCTGGGAAGTTCTCCGCAAACGGGGGCTGAGCCCAGCCACCCTTTTTCCCGTACGTACCGGCCTGCGTTGCCCATGGATCCGTTTGGACGCTCGGCTAAGTCTCAGCCACAAAAGGGGGGCAAGAGACCCACGGCCTTTGTAGGCAAGGATGGGGATCAGAAGCTGGGCAGAAGAGCCTCCCTCGTTTGCCCCGACGGTGCCCATTTCTAGCCTGGGATGGGGGGAGGCATGGGGAGGAGGAACGGCCAGACCGCAGGTGTAGTGGACTGCCTCAATGGACCACAAATGGGCCACGGGGCTTGGAATCGCCCAGCTAAACTCTTGCCACGGGCCCGCTCTTTCTCCCCTGCCCCACACCTCTGGCGAAGAAAAAGCAGAAAGAGAACGCCACCTGAAAAAGACAGACCTACTCCGCGGCCTGCCTTCCTGCTCTGTGTCCATCTTACCTTTCGCCTCCCCGAAAAGAGCAACGCCAGGCCAGTGCTCGCTTGAAGAACCACGCCATTGAGGTCAACTATTGCTTTGAATGTGGGATATTGTACAGGAATATGAAGGATCGGGGGGAAAAAATGGTTACGTGTCCGTTGTTTTCGTGGCATTGCTGGCGCCTGGCTGGACAGAAAGAGATTTCCACACACCCCCGTGGACGTTCCTCGGTAGAACACCGTTCGCCATAAGCGAGAGCGCCACGGATCCACCCTCAGCCCTTCTTTTCTTTGGGAAGGGTGTCCACGCCCGCAGATCAAGCGATGTTTGTTTGCCATACCCCAGTGAACTGAGAGCGGACATCCTGGAAAGGGGAGGAAGAGGAGACGGGAAGACAGGGGAGAAAACCTACAACAAAGCCCAGATTTCTTGCAAAAACATTCTTTGCTGCAATAAATTACTTTGGGTCTAAACCAACGTTTTTGGGGTTGTGGAAAGAAAGGTAAACACGACTAGTGATCAAACCCAAAGAGAGAGCGAGGAACGAGGGTTTTTTTTTTCTCTTTTGAAGGATAGAAATCGAACAACAAAAAAAGAGAGAGAGAACTGAATACTTAGAAAAAAAGAACACACGCCAAAAATAAAAAAAATAAAAACTCCTTCAAGTCTCCATTCCTGATTTCTAAGAGACGTTGATGTTTTCGAAGAACAGCTGCCCTGCAAACAGGAAACATTTGAAGTTTTGAAGGACAAAAAAATAAAAAAATAAAAATGCCCAGGTGCGCAGTTTTACTCCTAAGAGAAAAGTCCAGTGTGGATCGGGGCCTAGAAAAAAGCAGAGACAATTGTCCCCAGCCGGAGGGGGGAGTCCGGAAGAGAAAAGGGGATCAACCAGAAAAGATGTAGGGGAAAGAGATCTCTCGGGTGGGTGGGGGGGAGAATAAAAAAAAATTACCATTCAAGTCAATTTAGAAACTCAGCTGCCTGAAGACGTCAGAGCGTTAAGCATCCACTTGGTCTGCCCTCTTTAAAAACAAAAAACAAAAAAACAGGAGTACGTTTCATGTTCACCCACAAATCTATGCCCAGGAGTGCGTTCCTAGGAGAGGCATGCCTCTTGCACACACAACAAGCATTTCTCCACCCCACCTCCAAAATGTCGCTTTTTATAGACATATTAATATATATCTATAAAAAGTGTTCGCTTTGTTTCCCAGGGCATTCAGAATGAGGTCCACAGTGTTTAGAACTTATAAACTGGATTCTTGATTTGGAACAGTGATTTGCACCCGGTGGGGACTCGGGCGGGAGGGGGTGCCACTCCTCCCCCCCTTCCCCTCCCCACCCCACAGTTTTAAAGCATGTTGGATTTCAAGAACATGAGCTTGTTCATGTCCTCCGGACTCAGCAGGCGCCGCCTCTTGATCAAGAGGGCCTGCTCGCACATGCTGACGCAGTGGCTTCTGGCCCCCACGGCCGGCACCGCCAGGAGCCAGAAGGCCAGCTTGGCCAGTTTTGTGTGTTTCTGCGTCACGCAAGACCAGTACTGAAACAGGTCCGGAGGGGCCTGGAAGATCGGCTCCTGCAAGTAGTCGTACACTTCGTTTTTGCCCGACCGGTCCTCCTCCTGAGTGGGCGAGCTCTCGCTCGATGTCCGTGGCTTTTTGGCGGCCGGCTCGAACTCCGGCTCCTCGGCCCACGACTCCTTGACCTCGTTGATCAGCTCGCAGACCTTGCCGATGATCTCCTCGTGCTGGTAAGGGGGGACGGGGCGCAGCTTCTGCTGGGGGTCCAGGATCATGGCCACCTTGTGCGCCGAATGGACCTTGAAGTTCTCCTTCAGGGCCTCCAGGAAGAGGTGGCAGAGCTTGCTGACCACGCCGGCGTCGTTGGCCTTGGAGGTGAAAAGCTTCTCCAGCTTCACATAGGTGGGGAGGACCAGCTGGAGCGTCGGCCGGCTCTCGCTGCTTAGCTCGATGACCGCCTGCTTCACAGGGGCCAGGATGGCCGCCAGGTTGCTCAGCAGGTGCTTGTTGAGGTTCTGGATGAGGTTCATCTTCTTGGCGCGGCTGTAGAACTCGCAGATCTGCTCGTAGCGCTCGTGGACCAGCAGCAGCGAGTCGGTGACGGAGTTCCAGCAGGGCGGGGGCGAGGTCTCCTCCAGGGAGCCGAAGGTCTCTTTCGAGATGCCCGCCGAGCCCGCTAGGTCCTCGCAGACGTTGAGCAGCTCAATGACCTCGTGCATGTTGCGCGCCTGGAGCGTCCGCTTGTTGAGCACGCTCTGCACCACTGAGTTCAAGGCACACGCCGAGCAGCGCAAGCACATGCCGGCCTTGGAAAAGGCCGAGGAGTTGACCTTGCAGTCCATGACATACACCGTCCGGATCTCGGACATCACGAACTCGGAGAGCACGTTCTGAACCCAGTGGTGGATCAGGTCCCCGTTGTCCCGCAGGTCCACTCCCTTGATGCCCAGCATGTAGCTTTTGATGCTGTTGCCTTCCGCGTGGTAGGCGGTCAGGATGTAGCAAGAGTCGGGGCCGACGCTCTGCGAGTGACAGGTGACGCCAATGCCCAGGCAGGCGTTGCTGCCCAGGGAGCAGGTCACCTTCACCTTCACCTGGTTATACATTCGGGGCAAGTGCTTGAGGGCCAGCGTGTTGAAATTGCCGAGGATTTCGGTGACGGAAAAGGCCCCGTAGCGGGCGCCGCTGTCGACCAGCGTCTGCGCCAGCTTCACGAACTCTTTGGTGCTCACCACGCTCAGGGCGCCCAGATCCGCACACATGACCCGCAGCAGCCTCTCCGCGATGTTCTGACGCTCCTTCTCGGGGATGGTGCTGTTGGCGAGGGAGCTGCCGGCGGACGTGGCCGCTGCAGGAAGAAGAGCGGTCGGGAAGGGGAAGGAACGCCCGCAAGGTGCCCCGTGTTATGCCCGTCGGGGCTGCCAGGAGAGGACGCCCATCTCCAGCAGCTACCGAGTCAGCGGGGCTGCGGCGTGACTCCCCAGGGGATGAAGGGACCCCCCCCAACACCTTCTGTTTTGCATGGACTGGCCTCTCTAGGCCTGACCAGTAGGTAGCCGAGGGCCACTAAGGTGTGGGGCAGTAAATTCGCCCCTCTTTCCTGCCACCCTTGAGAGGGAGCATCGGGTCAAAGGCAACAAACACAGTTCTTCCTGGCTAGGGGGGGTCAGGATGTGATCAGGTGGGAAAGCCTTTTCCCCAGGGGAGGCGGCCACTCCTGCCTCGAGGGGGACCCCGCACGCCGGCGCTCACAAGGTACATACTGTTGTTGGTGTTGTTCCTTTGCGGCTGTGGTTTCCACTTCTCTTCCACCACTGCCGGAGGGGACCTGGGTTGGTTCGAGGCGATGCTGTTCTCGTTGTCGGCTGCGGGGTGTAAATCAGAACGCTTCAGAAGATGACAGGAGAAGCTTTCCATTGCAAAATACACTTTAGAGGGCATTTTACTGCACAGAGACAGAAGGGGGGGAGAAGGCGTCCTCTACCGGGGTCTCAGGGCGTCCCCCTCGGTCACAGCCACAGCTTGTGGCACTGAAGAAATAAGAGCCAGAGATCCCAGCCTTCTAAGTTCTGCCTCCATGACAGCAGAAAGCATGCAAGCTGGGCAGGATTTAGGGATCCAGTGGATCCCTAAATCTGAAAAACAGAGATTGGAGGAATCGCTCTTTAACGCCACTTTAGAGGAAACAGACAAGGGGCTTCTCTACTAATCCATGACAACTTTTTCCCTATTCCTTGGCTCACTCAAGGACCCGTCAGGCAGGGAAACTGCCAGGGAAAGGCCCGTCCGGCGGAACAGGGTCCTCTGTAATCTTAGTCTCTCTTTCCAAATGATCGGAATTTTTCCGTGTATAAAACAACTGTTTTTTCCTAAAATTGGAGGAAAAAAATTGAGGGTGGTTTTATACACGGACGCAAGAAAGCAAGCTTTGTAAAAAAGCTGCTTTCTCCCTATACTTTCGTTGGAAAAAGTGTAGGGGGGGAAGCGATTCCTGCTTTGCCCCCAACACTTTTGTTGCAAAAAGCTGCTTTCCCCCCTACACTTTTTTGCGAAGAACGTGGAGGGGGAAAGCAAGAATCAAAGCACTTTGATCCCTGCCTTCCCCCTCCACTTTCTTGTAAGGAAAGAAATTTTGGGTGAGAAAACTGGTGGAGTCTTATACGTGGAAAAATACGGCAATGGCTCAAGGTCCCACTCATCTTCCCAGGGATTCTTCTCCCCCCTCCTTTGTGGCCATGTAAGGAAAGAAATTTTGGGTTAGAAAACTGATGGGGTCTTATACGTGGGGGCGTCTTATACGTGGAAAAAATACGGCAATGGCTCCAGGTCCCACTCATCTTCCCAGGGATTATTCTCCCCACCCCTCCTTTGTGGCTATGATCCTCTGAACGGTCACCTCTAGTCTGCTTGCACACATCCGGGTGTGAAGCCCCTTTCTCCCGAAGGGCTGCGTGTTCCGGCTGCAAAAGGGCTGATCTGGCCTTGACAGGCCCCGTCAAGTCAGAGCGCGCAAGGTCCCCCCGACTCCTCGGAAGCTGCCCCACCATTATGGCGCCCCTACACAGGAACAACCCCCAGCCTAAGCCAGCTCCCAAGCCAACAGATCTGCGTCTCTGCGAGAGTTCCCTCCTGCTGCATTATTCCGGGAGGGTCCCCATCCCGCGGGCTTTACCTGCGTGGGACTGCATGTGCTCCAGGAGATTGTTGTAGAACTGGAACTGGATGCCACAGGCCCCGCAGGTGTACGGCTCTGAAAGAGGCGGGCCGAGGAAGAGAGTCAGGGGTTTGCCCCTCCAACGGACACCCACACCGAGCAGAAAGAGGGAATAGAAGCCAGAATATGTGTGTGTGTGAGAGAGAAAAGGACGGCGGGCGCTGCGATTCTCCACTGCTGGTTCAGCACGAGGACCATCCCATGTTTATCCACGGATTAAACACTTACCTTATTTTGTTACCTCTTATGACCCACCACCCACTCTGGGAAATATTTGCAGGCCAATGCCGAAGGAAAAAAAAATCACTGTACGATATCCAGACGGGTGCGACGCCGAACGGGCGCAACCACGAGACAGACAGAGGTACTCACCACTGGAGTTTTGGGAGCTGCTGTTGGTTTCTTCAAAGTTGTTTTGGACTTTGCTCTCCACGCGCCGACTGAAAGCACTTTCTAGGAACGGAAAAGGAAAGACACGGAGAAGACGCGAGTGAGGGTCCGTCGTAGCGCTTCAGAAAGAGACGTGGCAGAGGAGCCCGGTTTCCGAGGGACCCCTTCCCTTTGCTGGGAAAACTCAGAGGAACTCACCGCTGGAGTTTTGGGAGCTGCTGTTGGTTTCTTCAAAGTTGTTTTGGACTTTGCTCTCCACGCGCCGACTGAAAGCACTTTCTGGGAACGGAAAAGGAAAGACACGGAGAAGATGCGAGTGAGGATCCGTCGTAGTGCTTCAGAAACAGACGTGGCAGAGGAGCCCCGTTTCTGAGGGACCCCTTCCCTTTGCTGGGGAACTTGGCAGAAGGAGGAAAAGGATCAGAGCCGCAGGGACACACAGCAGCCCAGCCCTCGTTTGGCTGGATTCTCGCCACAGTCAGACTGGCTGCTGTCAGCATCATCCCCACAGATCAGGGGAAACACAGCCATTCCCAGCTATTCCCCCTCCCCACCGCCGCCTGGCCTCCACCTCCTGAATCCTCGGATGCAGTGGAGGGGCTGCTTAGCCGTCCAAGCCAAATCCACTGGGTTTAAAGGCAAACCACGCTGGATGATGGACTTCCCTCCCCTCCCTTTCTTTCCTTTCCTTCCTTCATTCTATCCATTCATCCTCAACTTCCTTCTATCCTTCCGAAGTCGGTAAAATGAGTACCCAGCTTGCTGGGGGGGGGGCAATGTGTAGCCTGCATAATTAACTTATAAACTGCCCAGAGAGTGCTTGAAGTGCTATGGGGCGGTATATAAGCAGCAAGCTTTGCTTTGCTTCCTTCCTTCCTTCTATCCATCACTGGCTCCTTCCTTCCTTCTTTCTTTTCCTTCCTTCTACCCATCATCAGCTCCTTCCTTCCTTCTATCTTTTCATTCCTCTTATCTTTTCCTTCCTTCCTCTTATCTTTCCTTCCTTCCTTCCTCTTATCTTTCCTTCCTTCCTCTTATCTTTTCCTTCCTTCCTCTTATCTTTCCTTCCTTTCTTCCTTCCTCTTATCTTTTCCTTCCTCCCTCCCTCCATCCCTTCTATGCATCATCAACTCCTTCCTTCCTTATTTCCTTCCCCCCACCCCGAGGGACTGACTTATTTCTCTCTGCCATCTCATCTCCCCGCCCTGTCCTGTCCCCCCCCATTCCAAAGCCCAGCCCATTTCCCCCTAGACCCACACTCCACACGGGCCCTCTAAGCAGGGATCAGGGAATCAAAGGCCACCCGGCTGATGGTCCGAGACCCACTGAAGCTTCCTGGAGATGTTTCTCTGCCTGGAAACCAAAGTCCTTCCTCCCACATTTCCACTGGCTGCTCGAGAGGGAGAGCTGGCGGAGAGGCCGGCCGGGGATGTGGACCCTCGCCCTCGTTCACGACCGGACTCTCCCCCAGGCACAGGCCGGGATCGAAGCAAAGTGCAACGTCACCGGGAAGAGCATCGGGGCTCACGGGAGGCATTTAACTGGTGCAACGGTTCCCCACCTTGGGTCCCCAAACTGTTCTTGGATGAAAAAACTCCCAGAAGCCTTCGCCACTCGCTGCGCTGGCTGGGATTTCTGGGAACTGTAGTCCTAGAACATCTGGAGACCCAACCGTCAGGAACCCCCAAGTAGTCCTAGAACATCTGGAGACCCAAGGGTCAGGAACCCCCGATCTAGATGCAAGGAAGGAGGGCTCAGACACTCCCACAGCCGGGCAGCCATGTTCTTGCTTCTCCTTTGTTACAAACCCATTTTCAGAGGTTCTAGTCCTGGTGGGGGCAGATCTAGAAATGCAAAGCCAAGCCCTTCCCTTGCCTCCCCCCTCCTCTCCCCACAACACACACATACACACATGCAGGCTCCCCCCCATGGCAGACACTGGCCCATTGAGACAGCCTGGAGGCAGAACTTTTCCCAGCCAGGTGGAGAGATGCTCCCAAAGAAGAACTCCCATCAACACCTCTCATCACAGAATACATGGTTTTTAGACATTTGGAGGAAAGGAAAGACCAACCTAAGTGGATTTTTTTTTTGCCCTCCTTTTCCTGCAAGCCCTTCTGTCCACTCCCTGCCAATTCCCACCAAGTATCGTATTTTTCCGTGTATAAGATGCCCCCATGTATAAGACACCTCCCCCACTTTTCTAATCCAAAATTAAGAACTCTAAGTGGGGCTTAGCAAGTGCAGGGGGAAAGGGATCGAAGTGCTGCAGGATCGCTTTGATCCCTGCTTTCCCCTCCACTTGTTTTTGTTCTCTCCTCAAATTACTTCTGTGTATAAGACGACCCTCAATTTTTAGTCTAAAGATTTTAGACAAAAGTATAGTCTTATACACTGAAAAATATGGTACCATCCACCACAGAAGACTGAATGGCGCACACTCAACAAACCCCCCCCCCATGCAGACGGCCACCTTATTGAGTCCAGGGACAAAAAGTGAGCCTGAAGGGTGGGGGGTCCCGGCAAGGCTTCCTTCTTTGTTTTAAATGCTGACTACAAGAATCGAATCAATATAAGGTGTGTGTTTTTTTCTGAAGTTAAGCCCTAGCCGATAAGGTCCAGCAGAAAGGACGAGTTGACACCCTAGCTCAGGAATCGTCAAACGACAGCAAACGCCAAACAGACAGACATGGGCACAAGCGAAGATTAGAAAGTCGCCGCTGAGCGTCTGGTTTGCCATCAGGGCAGTTCAGAGAAAGAGGAGCACAGGCTTGGCAGGGGGAAGTGCCGGGTTCAAGTCTCCTGCGAAGACGAGGAGACACTCCGGCCTCATACCCTGGAGAGCCGCAGGCTACCGCCGGCCAGCGTCAGCCTCCCTTGAACCGGAGGGACCAAGGATCCGGCCCCAACCTCCCCGGAAGCTAAAAACTCAAAGGGGGAAAGTTAAATTTCTCTTCTTGAAAAAAATAAAACCCATTGAAAGGCTTCTTAGAATGTTCAAAATAGGTTGTGTCGAAAAATAAGCAGATCTGTGAAATGCCACAAAGCCTTGCTTCTCTTTTTCGGCAGGAACCGGCCATGCTCCGAAAGCCGGCGGTTTCATACTCCGGAAAAGAGCCAGGATTTCTCTTTTGGGTGGCGCTGGGGGGGCGCGCGGGTGAGAGGGGGCTTTTGTGAAAAACAGGGGTTTTCAGGTCCCTTTCTGAGGTCTGGGGAGTGGATGGATGGGTGGGCTATACAAGTCACACCATCTCCTCTTGGGGGGGCAGGCGGCCCCCGCTCACTCATGGCCATGCCCAGCCACAGAGGGCAACACCCCCCCTCCCAAAAGGCCGTGGGGCGAGCGCCCGCCCCTCTCGGGCACGGCAGGGCTCCACGGGGGGGGCGACGCAACTCGAGAACAAAAGAGGGTAGAAAGACGCGATCGGTACCTGTGGTGGCCTTGCTTCCGGGGGATCCCGAATTTGGAGCGCGGAACGTCTGTGGCTGGGACGCCGGTGGGACACCGGAGGAGGGAGAGCGGTGGAGGAGGGTGGAGCACCGGATTATGGAGGCCGCTGGCGTTTTTTTGCCCGACTGGCTCCCCTGGGTCTTCACAGCCACGAAGAGTGGAGATCGAGAGTACTCTGGATATACGAACACTCAAAACTAGTGCCGGGAGCAGACAAGTCAGTGAATCGGGGCCTCCGCCCTCTCTCACGCTCCCCCCACCTCTTCGGAAGCCGTGAACCCCCGACTCGGGGGTCACCCCAATCCTGCGAAAGTCTCCCGCCGGCTCTACCGCGGCAGGGGAAGGACAGCTAGAAAACTCTCGCACTGGCCGGGGAACGCCGAGCGACCCTTCAAGGCGCAAGAGGGAACGTTTCCTGCGCAGCGTGGAGAGGGCCCGATCCCTCTCTCGCTCTTCTCCTGTCCCTCGCGCCAAAGTTAAAAAAACATCTGTCCTGGAAGAGTAGACATTGTCTAGAGGGGCGGGGTAAAAATCTAATAAATAAATAAATAAAAGTGACTTGGATTTTTAATCCTCTTGCTAGGAAAAAGCGAGACGTGGGTGTTTCGCCCTTCCGGGGTTAACGCTTTCGAACTGCAAAACAGCCCAGGGGTGGGTCTCCCGAGAGGAGCCATCTCCCCTCGACCCCCCTGGCTAAGATGGGGAAAGGATTCTCTGCCAGCTGCTGTGACACATCTGGACAGTTTGCCTCAAAAGAGGGAAAGCAAGCTTTTTTTCCCTCTCCTTCGGGGAAATCTTTCAAATCTATGCAGAGCTAACCAAGCTAACGCCATTTTTTCCATTCAACTAAGATGTCTTGAACTGGGCTATTCTGACAAATCCCAAGCCCCACCTTGACCTGTGCATCGTGCGGAGACAGAGGTGGAAAAAGAGCCTTAACATCATGATTCCATCATCTCTACCTCACATCTTGTAAAACGGCTGGAAAATTCTCGTTGCCAAGTGTCGGGGACCCAAAGATATGCCCCAGACTATGATCTATTTCTCATTTTTTCCTCCCTACTATTCTTTCCTGATATAGGGTGAGCAATTCAAGTGGGAGAGAGTTCCTCTGGTCCACAGGCTGTGCATTAAGCACGTTAATGGAACTTTTTATGGGGATCAGAAAGCCCTCACCAGTCACAGACTCTGGTCTTTTTTTTACCTGCCCTGCGTGACTTATCAGTGCCCCCCCCCAGGAAATGAACATCAAGATAACAAACACAGAAAATAAAACATCTGAAAAGAATAAGCAACACCTTGTCGTTTTCCCTCCGTCCACGCACACATACAGTTTATAAGAACAAATGACCACAAACCAATGACAGGACAATAATAACCTGGCAGAGGTGTTTCTCTGTTAAAGCAGATGGGGGGGGGGACATCAACAGCTGATGGTCCAACTTTTTCTGAACTATAGGGATGGCTGAGAACACCAGCCTTAAAAAGTGATTTTGGGAACCTCAGCTTGTGAGGGGCATTAAGAAGAAGCTGGTTCTAAGCTTCCCCCCTCCACACGCATTCCCTTTTTTGCAAAAATCTGTTCTGCTGGAGGAGGGGTGGCTAGCCTGGCCCCTTCCAGGCGTCTCCCTCATTCCATGTCCTGGGTCCAGCATTCACCAGCATCTGGCCTGCTTCCACCCACCACCACCACCCCGACTGGCTTTTCTCTCCTCCCGAGAAGCGAAATCTGCACAGGGCACTGGATATCAAGCACCTCCCTCCCCTCACGTTGGGGCTGCTCCCCGAAGAAACCAGACTGGGAGGAACTGGGAGACAGAAAAGAACGTCTTCACACATGGGATGGACATCCCTGTGGGTCACGGACGGTCAAGGAGAGGGTTCTCAAAAGGGGATCGGACACCGTGGAAAGGGAAACCACCTCTAGTGCCAACACCGCCAGCCAGCTTCCCTGCCAGCCCCGCGGGCCAAATCCACAAAGAGCGATCCGGCCCAGAAACCAGTCCTTCAGGCCAAATCACCAGCCTCTGCGTTTGCAAGGGAAGGACCCACCGCTGTTGTGTGGAGGGCCATTCCCGCCAACCCCAGGTGAGAGTCCTTCTGCATCCGGATCCCCTTTCTCCTGGCTTTGGATGCTGGTCTGGTTCCGGAGATGATCCCAAGGATCGTGTCCAAGGCTGGGAGGTGTGTGTGTTGATTTTCACAGCCCTTACTGACAGGTCTCCCAAGAGTAAGAACCACGGACGGCGTCTGGGCAAGAGGGATTTAGCCAACTCACGTGCCCGAAGAGCACCGAATTGGGTGCGTTTTGGAAAACGTGGAAAGAGCGAAGCCTTCGGCACGCTCTCCGAAAGCTCCAGCCCGGAGGGGGTGGTGTCATCTCCACGGAAGCTGAGCTGTGGGACGCGGGGGCCGGATCCACAAGGAAGGCCCTCTTCACACAACACCGTGGCGTTGGCTTCTATAGAAGGTGGTGGGCGGCAACGTCCCAAAAAAAGGACCGCCTTTCGGAAAAGGGTCAGACGGATGCGGGGGCGAAGGAGCAGCGGCTCCGGCCTCCCCGGGCGGATGGCGTCTTGAGACATAAATGCCTTCCCCCCTCAGAATCACAGAAATGTGATTCATTCACACACACTGGAATGGGTGTGTGTGTGTGTGAGAGAGAGACAGCGGTGGGGAGTAAGGGATCAGTCTCAGAATGGAGCAGCCCAAAACTGTATAGGACGTCCCTACTCTGCATCAGGCAAAGACCTTGGTGAATATTCTACCCTCACACCCACGAGACGTCCCACGGACACAAAACGCCTACCCTCTCGGCCGACGGCATGGATCCCTTTCCTACCTGTCCGTCCCCCCCCCTCCCCGAGCACCTGGACCCCACTGCACCCCAAACGCACAAGCAGAAAAGCAACAACCGGTAAACTCAAAGCTGCAGGAGAAAAAGCCAGAAGCTTCCTTCCGAAAGGGCCCTCTGCCTTTCCCAACCTCGGTCTCTACTGCAGGTTTCCATCGCTACGGTCAGTCCACCCCCCCAATAGGCAACTTTTGCCCCCTCCACCAAGAGACTGTCCCGGATGCCCCCCCCCCTCTCCACCACTGCTGGCTGTGTCATATACTCACTGATGGGGGCGTGGAGGGCCACGTGCTCCTGGTAAGGAGTGTAGTATTTGTACTGTTTCCCGCAGAATTCACACGTGTAGTTGCCTGTTTCTGCAAAAGGGAACAAAAACACAATTTTGTGAGCGCTAAGGGCAAGGAGCCGGGTCACACACACATCCCCATCCTCCTCCAGCTTCGCCTGGTCTTGCAACTTCCTTAGAGCGAGCCTGCCTGCTGAACCCGAGCACGGACACAGCTAAAAATCCCTCTGAGGCCATCTAAAGGCCCAGGGATCTCCCCTGGGGGGGCCAACCTGCCTGCCTTCCCTGGAAAAATGCTAAAGGGACATCTCCTTATAAAGCAGGGGGGACCCTTTAAGAACCTGGTCTGAGAAACCCCATTTCTCTGAGAGTCTGTACACGCGGTTTCTCCTCTACTAAGATAAATCCGGAAAGAAAACTGGGGGAGGGGGATTTTTATACACCCTAGTTTTTAAAAAGGGGGGGAACTTATAAAGCTCATCTCGTTCCACGTTCCTTTTAGTTATTCCTTAAAATTTATTTCTTAGATTTATATGTCACCCAATGGCGCAAACGCACTACGATGGGCGGCTTGACGACAAGATAAGTATCCTATTATTCCCCACTAAAAGATGTCAAACTCCCCAACGCTGGAAGGAAAATCAGACTCGAGGAACTGGATCCCACAAAATCAAACGAGGGCCTTTCCTGCCAACTGACCAACTCTAAACCATCAACTCTTCGGAAGGATTTTTGGTGCCTTAATTTGTGGACTGGGGAAAAGGCCTGCGACGGCCCTGTCGGGTCTTAAAATATTTGTAAGTAACACCGTACAATAATGGCGAAGTAAAAGGTTTGAATTGGCTTGGCGATAACATCCAAAACGCATTAAGTGTGTCTGGCTGACCTCCCACCACCATCCCCAGGCAAAATCCTTTTGGTCCTTTCAGCAAACTGGGAAACCCTTTTTTGAAATACCGTATTTTTCTGTGTATAAGACTATACTTTTGTCTAAAATCTTTCAAATAAAATTTGAGGGTAGTCTTATACGCGGAAAGAAGCTGAGGAGAGAACAAAAACAAGTGGAGGGGAAAGCAGGGATCCAAGCGATCCTTTGATCCCTTTCTCCCTACACTTGCTAAGTCCCACTTAGATTTCATACTTTTGGGTTAGAAAAGTGGGGGGGAGTCTTATGCATGGGGGCGTCTTATGCATGGAAAAATACGGTAGATTTTACAGGTATGTATAAAATAAAGCAGCACATCTGTTCACCAGCTTGGGTCACTAAATACAAAACACATACAAAATCCCGACTGGATTGAGGGCACCAAGGAAGCCTCGTCATCCGGAACCTCCCAGCCCCCACCCCACCCCATAGGACACTCCCTCCCCTAAGGAAGGCTGCTCAGCCCCACTGCCCCTTTGAAGACGCTCTTAATTTCCTGCAGGGCCCACGGACTTTCCCCTCCCCGTCAGGTCAGGGTGCAGCTGTGGCTTGATATATAGACTTCTCTACAGGGTGGGGAGATGACCCGCCAGGGAGAATTGGAAAGTTCCCACTGGAACGCCAGGAGAATCCAGCTTCCCCTTGGGGGGGGGGTCACCGAGGCTGAACCAGCCTGGCTCGGCGGAGGGCAGGTCCCGATCCCTTTCCGCTTTGCTGCGCTGTCCTCTGTGGCTGCTATTACTGTCCGGTTCCTTGCGCGAGTATATTTCTCTGAAGACAACAGTGTAAGCAAGGGAGGGGGGACGGGAGAAACAGCTTTCCCCAATCTGCTACCAGCTGAAGGGCTGGAGATGGGCATTTTCAGCGGGCCACGCGTGTGCCCTATCACTGGGCAGAGAGCCTTGCTCAGGGGGGCATCATGTTTTGACCCCGCTGGCAATGGAGGGCAGCCTCCCATTCACACAGAGCTCTTCCCCCGCACCCTCCAGTCGCTCCCTTGGCCTTTTTCTGTCCCAGGAAATAAACTGCAGGGCGCTCGCTAAACCACTGCTTATAGATTTTCCCAAGCGCACATCCAGCCTTTTGCTAATAAGGCTGACCCGGGAACCTGGGCAGACACGCCCGAACCGGAAAACCCCACACTGTATACGTCGAAAGCGGGTTAATTACTTAAGTTGCAAACTCGGTAAGTCATACTTGGACCAATCTTCTGAAACGGCTCGGGTTCCTCTTCCTTCACTTCTTCCTTTGTGATCATGGCTTGGTCGTAGGGATCTGGGAGAGGAGAAAAGAGGGAAGCAGGAGAGAGATGAAGACACCCACCGCCGCCACCCCACGATCATCCGGAAGGGAGGGCAATCCTGTGCCCAGGTCGGATCAACGGAAACCCCCCCCCTTGGAAGCCTCCCCGAGGATGCATCAAAGCTTCCCATCGCCGTTCGTGGGGGAGCAGGTAGTGAGATGGGGCAGGCAAGTCAGGATTATGCCCTCCCAGTGGCTACTTCTTTCTTGCGCCCCTACCTCTTGGTTTCCCCCTCCCCTCTGTGCCAAGGAAGGAACAAGGGATGTGGGAAGGTTAATCTCCATCATTTTCCTCTTTGCCCCCCCAACCCACACTTAACCACAGTTTCAGATACGCCAACCATCTCCCCCCCCAAACTATCCCTGACCACCATTCAAAGAGAACCACAAGTTTTTTAAAAAATGAATAGGCCATGCGGCATTAATGCAAGCCTTAATGAAATTGTTCCATTCTATGACAACACAAGTCTCAACTCCAAACCTATCTGTCAAAGTAAGGGATTTAATCTCAGCTTCTTTCAACATGTACTGCAGCGACGTCCGTTTTGCAACTGCACCAACAACGACGCCAAGATACAAGCTTAAATTCAAGTAAACTCTGAAGGCTAACCAACGACGTAACATTTTTGTTATTGTTTTAAAAGTAGACTGAATATAAACATTCTATCTAAAATGGTCTCTCCGAAGCTACATTACTACACTTATCGTTTTGAAATTGCGGGAAAACCTATCTGTCAAAGTAAGGGATTTAATATCAGCTTCTTTCAACATGTACTGAAGCGGCGTCTGTTTTGCAACTACATCAAAAAACGACGCCAAGATACAAGTTTAAATTCAAGTAAACTCTGAATGCTAACAAATGATGTAACATTTTTGTTATTGTTTTAAAGGTACAGTGGTGCCCCGCATAGCGACGATAATCCGTTCCGAAAAAATCATTGCTATCCGGATTCGTCGCTATGCGGGGCAAAAAAGCCCATAGGAATGCATTAAAACATGTTTAATGCGTTCTTATGGGCAAAAAACTCAGTTATGCAGAAATCCTCCATGCGGCCGCCATTTTCGCTGCCTGGTAAGTGAGGAATGGGCGTGAAAACACAGCAGGCGACCACTTTTTTTACCCAGCGGCCATTTTGGAACTTGACACCGCCGATCAGCTGTTCTAAAAACATCGCTATGCGAAAATTGGTAAGCAAAACAGCTTACCGATCATCACAAAGCGATGTTTTACCATTAGAAACATCGCAATGCGATCGCTTTTGCATTCGCAAAAAACACATCGCTATGCAGATTCGTCGTTAAACGAATCGCTCGTTATGCGGGGCACCACTGTACACTGAATATAAATATTCTATCTAAAATGGTCTCTCTGAAGCTACATTACTAAACTTATAGTTTTGAAATTGCGGGCACATTTTTGTTATTGTTTTAAAAGTAGACTGAATATAAACATTCTATCTAAAATGGTCTCTCCGAAGCTACATTACTACACTTATCGTTTTGAAATTGCGGGAATAATCAAGTTATCCTCCCTCAATCCCACCATCCGCTTCAAGCTCCTTTCCGCTTCCCGATACATCGAAAGAGCTCTGCGCATTGCAGATTTTGAAATACCCTCTTCCCGAAAGACGCCTCTTGACAATCTTTCTCGTCAAACCTAGTTTGAATGTTGGCTTGATCAAAACAAGCCGGGAGCAACATGGTGGCTTGTGGCTTTGGCTGGTTTCACTAAGCCAGTATTCAAACCCAACCGTTTCCTCCTCCTCCGGACAGCGGCGGTTCTCACCCAACCGTACCAGGGCCAGGCGCGCCCCCCTCGCTTGACCCCGAGACAACCCTCACCATCCACGGCGTGCAGGTCCCGGTGCTCCTGGAAACAACTGTAGTATTTGTACTTCTTCCCGCAAATGTCGCAGGTGTACCGAAAATTGTCTGTCGGGAGAAGAAAGAGGGCAAGATTGGAGGACCGAAGCCGTCGCATGACCGCGATGTCAATGGGGAACCTTACTAGGTATCTAAAACAGTGATTTAAAAGTACCTAACACATGTGTATATTTATTACTTCTCTCGCCCTAATTTTCAGCCCTTTTTACTGTTATTTTAAGTCAGTCTGACTGGCGGTAACTGTTTTTATCTTGCTATGGTTGATGAGTGGTGCAATAAATACAATGGTGACTCGCTAGACGATGATAATCCGTTCCACTAAAATCGCTGTTTAGCGAAATCATCATCTAGCGAAAAGCAAATTGTCGCCTAGCGAAAATCGGTTTGCGAAGCAGGGACCAAACATTGTCCAGCGAAATTCCCCCATAGGAATCCGTGGGCCTGTCTCCCTTCCCATTTTATCCTCGTGGCCACCGGGGCCATCCTGACCGGTAAGCCAGGTTGAGAGAAGGACGGGCCCAAGAGGGTGCTTGAACCCGGGTTCCCTCGCTCTTAACTCTGACACAGTAAAACCTATGGACTATTTCGTATTGGTTCCAGCTCTTTTTATTTGGGAATTCATGGAAAGGCAGAAGAGGCATCCATTTCAAGCCAAATGATAAGTGAGCAAGGAGAGCGAGTGAGAGAGAGAGAGAGAGAGAGAAAGAGGGCATGGGGGGGGCAAACCCAGGAAACGAGGGTGTGCTTAGCCAACGCTGGGACAGAGGACAGGGCTTAACCCTCTTTCTTTACAACATACCGGGATAACCCTGTTTGGGACAGAAAAGGAAGTGTTTTACTGGGAAACGGGTGGGAAAAAAGGAGTGCCACTAAAAAAAATCAGATGTGGGTTTTTTGGCTGTCGTTTTTAGGCGGTCCTTTGCCGTGAAAGAGCCCGGATGGGGAAAACAGCACCCAGGGGATGGCAGAGAGGGCATCGGGCAGGCCTGCCCGGAAAGAGGGTTTAAAAGAGGGGGCCACAACCCTGTGTCCACTGCTTACAAGCCCTATAGAGGCATGCATTGGCACAGCCCGGGCCACGGGAGGTGGGGTGTGTGGGAGCAGGAAGAGGTTTGGCCNCCGAAAGCCAGGCTCTCCTTTCCAGATAAGCGGCAAGCAGCTGCTGTAAACCTCCCTCTGGATCGGGAAAAGCCGAGCCTCTTCCCGCCCGCACGCTTGGGCTCCTTGTCCCGGAGGTCGGCCATGGGTCTCGTCAGGCCCACCGCCCCCTAGGCTAACTGGCCGCAAGCACCGAAAGCCAGGCTCTCCTTTCCGAGACGAGCAGCAAAAGCAGCTGCTGGCAATCTCTGGATCGTGGGTCTCACCAGGCCCACCGCGCCCTAGGCTAACTGGCCGCAGGAGCCCTCTGGGGCCCTCCCCTTCCGCCGGGGACTCGGCCGTGGCCCGGATCCACCACCCCTGATCCTCTTCCCCTTGCGGAGTTCCAGGAAAGGGTGTTGACGGTACTTACTGCCTTGGGAGGCTCCTTCGCCCGACGCAGCTTCCGTGTCTACGCAGAGAGAAAGCCTCACTTTAGAAAATGGCCACGGAAAGTCTAGACAGCGCGCCGTGACGCCTAGACGCCCCCCACGCCCTGGCCTGTATTCCCATGGGGGGTGGCCTGGGTTGGCCGGGTCCCCTTCCCCGAGGCAAGGCTAAGCTTCCTTTGCCTGCAGTTTTGCCCAGAGGACGTGGCTTGCCTAAGGGTCGCGAGTCGCCTGGAGGGAGAAATCCCGCAGCCATGGGGCAGATCCTACCTCACCCCCCCCACCCAAGGAGAACAGAGTCCCCAGACATGATGACGAAAGGTCCTTAAGCAGAGCTGCGTTTGCACGGCAATTCCAGTGAGCTCCAGAAAACCAGGGGGACCACGGACTGTTATTTTGGGCCCCCTAAGAACCTCCGCTTTCTCCTTCTCTTTGAGAAGGCTTCTCAGCCTTCCTGTAGCTAAAGGCGGTTTGAAGGGTCAGGCCACCTGACTTGACATCTTTACGAGCCGGAGAAGCAGTCGGTGGTCGGACTTGATCTCGTCCTGCGAGGAGCGCAGGGCGAGTGAAAATTGACGAGTGGCGACCTGGGATGGCTGCTTCCTCTTTACCATCCACGCCGGCGGCAGAACGGCGTTTATCGTGGCCTTCTTTGGGAGCCCCTGCTCTTTCCTACGGGGCCGTAAACGGGCAATAAGGGCTGCCCTGCCTGGCACGTGGCATTCGGCCTCCCCGAGGGAAGCTGGCACCAGCAGAGGACCGTGTGCCGCCTCCACCAGCTTTGCCCACAGAAGCGTGGCCCACGTTTCTCTCGACGCCAGCCCTCCACCTGATAAAGGGGCTGCAGGCAGGGCAGAATAGCGGGTGGGTTTTTCATTTTGAAGGGGGAAAAGGGAAGAACGGGTCTAATCGGGTTTTCTGTCTTTGCCACCCGGGGTGGAACTCAACCCCTCTGGCTCAGGCTTGGTGGCATGGCCACGCTCCCTCGGCAAGGCCACGAAATACAGGCCACGGGATTTTCCTTAAATGCCCAGCTTTGTCTCTCTCTGTCCCCCTTTTGTCGTATTTGTTTAGAAACCAGCTTGAGAAAAAAACACTCTTGTCGCACTCAAAAGCTTGCTCACCGATAGAAACAGGTTTAGAAGTACAGAGGGTGCCACCTTTTTAGGGCAAGGGGGGAGTGTAGCTGGGGGGGGAGCGTGTAGGGACAAGGAGCACCAGGGCCCTGATTCAGGACAAAGTCTGCTCCCCCAAAAAGCACCTACATCGACGCAGCCTCGGGGGGGAAATCTCACTTTCAGACTGGGCTCCCAAGCGGGCAAGCTGGAAAAACGAGAGGGCCGGGATTACCTCGGTGAGCGCGAACGTGGGTCTGGAAACAGTTGTAGTATTTATATTTCTTCCCGCAGATCCCGCATTCATAAGATCCTGGAAGGGGGGGAGAGAAAAGGGGGGAAAAAACCCACAGAGATTAGACACAAGCAATGCTTCTGCTTGGATAGGATGCTCCTTTTGAAACACAGAGAGTGGGGCTGGGTCGCAGGCCTCTTGAGAAAACGCAGAACAAACGCTCTCCCTTCCTGGGGTACGGACAACAAGACCCATTTTCCCCAGAAGCCATTTCTGGGCAGAAGCCCTCTTGCTCAAATGTTCCACCGAATCCGGAACGCCAGGGCGACACCTTTCGCGCACGGCTCTAGAGGGTAGATCTTGGGATTATAATAATAAAAAAAACCAAACCAAACAGTAGATCGTCCACAGATCAATCCTGAAGGGGCCCAACCCCAGCTGGGAAAGAGGATTCCTGGAATTTCTTTGATTTTTGTGAGGGTTTAACTCTCTCTCCCCCCCTTCCATACACACACCCCAAATTTATCTTTTAAAAAAACATTCAAAGCGCTCTTTCCTGTGATTCTTATTCGGCTAAAGCAGGGCTGGGGAAACAGCATCCTGCTAAAAGATGATCAAAACATGGAAAGCATCCAACCCCGTGGGGCAACCCCCCGTATTCCTGCCACCCCACATTGGCAAGCGGGAAAGCATCGTGGCGCTGTTTGCGACCGTCTAGGCTCGAATATTAACAATCCAGAGAGATGCTGAAAGAATCGCCCAGATCAGGATCTTTTTCTGGGTCTGCCCATCGTCTACACTTTTTCTTGGAGAGGGGAGGAGAAAAGGAGGTCCACGGAAGCTGAAGTGAAGGACGCAGAGAGCAGGGTATTTGTAGGAATGAATGAATGAATGAATGAATGAATAAATGAATGAATGAAGGAAGGAAGGAAGGAAGGAAGGAAGGAAGGAAGGAAGGAAGGCGCTGATGATGGATAGGAAGGAAGGAAGGAAGGAAGGAAGGAAGGAAGCATCACCCTCCACCCACCCACCCAAGGCACGCTGGTCTGGAGATGCCGGAGCCCCGTTCCCTCTCCTCTTGAGAAAAACGTTACGCCCATCGGCCACAGACCTAGCTTACCGAGCGTCTGCTGGTTGCGAACCCCGCCGATCACCACGCAGATTTCCGCCGGCACCTCTCCCGCCCCGCCGTCCTTCGGCGTCTTCTTCCCGTCTTTCGGGTCGTCCTGCCAGACCACCTCCTGGATGTAGTCGTCCGGGATCTCCGTCTTGACTTTCACCTCCGCCATGGTGGTGGCCGTCTTCTCGCTCGGCGAGGACTGCGAGGCGGCGGAGTCCGACTCTTCCGCCTTCATGCTCTTCTGAGCCCTCTTCAGGCGCTCCCTGGGGGGGGACGGGGGGGGAAGGAGCAAAGAGAAGCAAAAATGTGCCCCGTCAGACCCACATCGTTTTCACCAACACTCGGATCGTCGCCGTTCTATCACTGTGAACAGAACTTTAACGAAGAGGCAAAAGATAAGTCAAGTCAAATCACGCCACCCCATTGATATTTCCCACCTAGGACTGCCATGGTGGCGCTCTGATACGGGGGGCTTCCTTGCAGGAATTTCCTAGCCAGCCTTGAAGATGTTCTGGTGGGGGGCCATTCCTCCTTTCCCCCTTCAGAGCAGGCGTTGTGGGACCACACAAAGGGATCAGGGATCAGCTTGGGGGCAAGAATGCTGGGGACCCTTTCCTGCCGCTATCCCCACATTTTCTTAGGGAGTTTGCAACGGAGGGAGGTCCTTGACCCACTGCACGTCTCTTAAGAAGGATGTCCCTATTGGGTGAGGCCACACAAAACTGGCGAGGTTTCAAAACCGGGTTCCTAAGGGCGACCGGGTGGATCCGAGGACCGCCGCCAGGGCCAGCCCTGACCTCCAGCGCCTCTGGATCCCGAATGCCCGACGCTCTCTCCTCCTCCTTGAGCCCTGATAGGAATGGCACGGATGTTCGTACGAAATAAGCATCGAAATGCGGGCGGCCTTTGGACAGAAGGGAAGCGAAACGGGTCCTGGAGGCAAGCGGGCAGAGTCCAAAATGAAAGCCGTAAGGCAGGAGAAAGGAAAGGGAGGGAGGCTCTCTTCTGGGGAGGGGGTGTCGATCGATCGAGGGAGACGGGAAAGAAGGACAGGTCTGACGGAGGTCTCAGAGAGTCAGACTGCGCTTCTTCCCCACTCCACAGCGGGGAAGCACCCACAGCCAGCAAAGGGCAAACCCTCAGCCCCACTATCCCCCCCCACTACAAGATCCTAGTGAGAGACCCCAGAGATGGGAAAGACCACGGACTTCTATCCGAGAGGCGAGAAGCTCTTGAGACTTAAGAGAAAGACTGATTTCCTTGCTCTCTGACCGAAACCATTTTACACCCGCTGCAAGGCAAGGTCGGTGAAATGATTCGGAATGTTTCTTCTGTCCGATAAATCCACACTTTGCCTGCGGGTTGGAGCAGAGAGGGAAGGAAGGACGCCTCAAGCCAAGGAAAGTCTTCGAGGGAGTTTATTGTCGCGTTTCACCTCCCCAGAATAACGTTTCTCCGCTATTCTTTGCCAGTGGCTTTTATGAAACCGGAAGGGGGCTGAGCCCACACACACACATACACACACACCCTCAACTTTGTGGTTCAGCATCCTTCGCGACGAGGGAACCCCGACAGGAATGAAACAGCCCTGCCTTGTCTCTGAGAGAAAGCCCGTCGGGATCAGGAATGCGTTATTGGGTGGATCTGCCCTTCCCTGCTCAGCCACGCCATCACCTTGCAAGAGGCCGTGCGTGGACCAAACTAGTCCGGCACGGAGGAAGGTGGCCAAGAGGAACTCTGCCCGGAGAGACGGGGGAGCCACCACGACCAGCCCACGGGATCTGGGGTCTGGTGCGGGATTGTGGGGCAGCTGTTTCTGCACCCCAAGGCCAGCTGTGGCACCTCTGCGGTGGAACGGATTCGGTCTTCCAGCCCTTTCTTCCCACGTGGCCCTCTGGCTCACGCCTCCCCGGTCGTAAAGGCGACCCGGCCTCTCCGAACCCACGGCGCAAGAACCATCCTCCTCGGCCCTCGCCAGGCGTTCCCCTGGATGTCTCGCAGAGCGAGAGAGACCAACGGAAGGGAAGGAACGGATCACATGCCGGCATCTGGAGCTGGCAGATTTCCAAAGCAGAGAGCGCTACATTCCATGAATAATGAAACAAGGGACTAAAAGCTGTTTAAAAACACACACTCCTCTTTTATGGAGGAGAAGCAGCAGTTGGGGCGGCGGTGGGGGGGGCACGCGCGCGGGGAGGGACCCAATTATAAGAGAACGTTTCTTCCAGCTAGGAATAATTTGTCATGCAATTCTTGGAAGACAAGAGCGCAACAGAAGCCAAACACGCACGCACACGCACATCACCCTCCTTGCTTGATGATTGTATGACGGTTTTATGTAAACTGGAAGGCAGAGCTGGAAAGGGGGGGGGAGAATCCTTTATTGTAGCATCGCATTTCCGGAGAAATTTGCATGCCAAGAGATTTATTTTGTCGCTCGGCTGGCTCACAAGATCGGGCATGGGGACCAAACCACTTAATTCTCCTTAAAACAAGCCCGACCAACGGGGCCAAAACTGAAATCATCGGAGGGGAGGGAAGAAGGCCAGATTTGACACGACCCCCAGATTTATAAAAGCTCATTCTGCCTGGGGGGGGGCGCAATTCAGCTTTGTTTCTTCTTCAAATAAATGAACATTTTCCGCGGATTTGTTACAAAACGGTACAGTGGGTCCGCACCCCGATGCAACGGCCAGGTAGTTCCCGCCCCGGATGAACGGCGTCCGGCCACCTACCTGCCCACGGACGCTCTTGTCCCGATGCTGCCGCTGCTGCCTTCAGTCTGGGGGGTGGGTGGGGAAAAAAAAGAGAAAGACAGAGAACGGTCAGATTCTTTGAGAGTTGGGAGCTTTTCCTTCTTCTCAAACCAAACATATTTTTTTAAAAAAATTTCGGAAGGCACAGAAGTAATTAAGGCAGGAGACAAAATCAGCGGCTATTTCCTTGAAACAGCAGATCCGCTTTTCCACGAGGGATGCATTTTCTACCCTAGGGAGAAACCCACGTGCGGGATTTCTTTTGAAACAGACCAGGGGTCACTCCCGTCCTTCTTAAGGCCAACGAGGGAAAGACAGGGAATGACAGACTCATGGTCGCCCGGTGTGTGTGTGTGTGGGGGGGTTCGCAAGATCTCTGTGGCTTAGGGGGCACACGCCCCCTTTCCACCCCCCCGAATTGTCACCAAAAGGAAAGGAGAGTCTCTCCTGGAAGAAATTCCAGGCGGAAGAGCGACGAGGGAACCCCGACAGGAATGAAACAGCCCTGCCTTGTCTCTGAGAAAAAGCCCGTCGGAATCAGGAATGCGTTATTGGGTGGATCTGCCCTTCCCTGCTCAGCCACGCCATCACCTTGCAAGAGGCCGTGCGTGGACCAAACTAGTCCGGCACGGAGGAAGGTGGCCAAGAGGAACTCTGCCCGGAGAGACGGGGGAGCCACCACAACCAGCCCACGGGATGGGGATGTGGGGCAGCTGTTTCTGCACCCCAAAGCCAGCTGTGGCACCTCTGCGGTGGAACGGATTCGGTCTGCTCCTTCCAACTCTTTCTTCCCACGTGGCCCTCTGGCTCACGCCTCCCAGGTCGTAAAGGCGACCCGGCCTCTCCGAACCCACGGCGCAAGAACCATCCTCCTCGGCCCTCGCCAGGCGTTCCCCTGGATGTCTCGCAGAGCGAGAGAGACCAACGGAAGGGAAGGAACGGATCACATGCCGGCATCTGGAGCTGGCAGATTTCCAAGGCAGAGAGCGCTACATTCCATGAATAATGAAACAAGGGACTAAAAGCTGTTTAAAAACACACACTCCTCTTTTATGGAGGAGAAGCAGCAGTTGGGGCGGCGGTGGGGGGGGCACGCGCGCGGGGAGGGACCCAATTATAAGAGAACGTTTCTTCCAGCTAGGAATAATTTGTCATGCAATTCTTGGAAGACAAGAGCGCAACAGAAGCCAAACACGCACGCACACGCACATCACCCTCCTTGCTTGATGATTGTATGACGGTTTTATGTAAACTGGAAGGCAGAGCTGGAAAGGGGGGGGGAGAATCCTTTATTGTAGCATCGCATTTCCGGAGAAATTTGCATGCCAAGAGATTTATTTTGTCGCTCGGCTGGCTCACAAGATCGGGCATGGGGACCAAACCACTTAATTCTCCTTAAAACAAGCCCGACCAACGGGGCCAAAACTGAAATCATCGGAGGGGAGGGAAGAAGGCCAGATTTGACACGACCCCCAGATTTATAAAAGCTCATTCTGCCTGGGGGGGGGCGCAATTCAGCTTTGTTTCTTCTTCAAATAAATGAACATTTTCCGCGGATTTGTTACAAAACGGTACAGTGGGTCCGCACCCCGATGCAACGGCCAGGTAGTTCCCGCCCCGGATGAACGGCGTCCGGCCACCTACCTGCCCACGGACGCTCTTGTCCCGATGCTGCCGCTGCTGCCTTCAGTCTGGGGGGTGGGTGGGGAAAAAAAAGAGAAAGACAGAGAACGGTCAGATTCTTTGAGAGTTGGGAGCTTTTCCTTCTTCTCAAACCAAACATATTTTTTTAAAAAAATTTCGGAAGGCACAGAAGTAATTAAGGCAGGAGACAAAATCAGCGGCTATTTCCTTGAAACAGCAGATCCGCTTTTCCACGAGGGATGCATTTTCTACCCTAGGGAGAAACCCACGTGCGGGATTTCTTTTGAAACAGACCAGGGGTCACTCCCGTCCTTCTTAAGGCCAACGAGGGAAAGACAGGGAATGACAGACTCATGGTCGCCCGGTGTGTGTGTGTGTGGGGGGGTTCGCAAGATCTCTGTGGCTTAGGGGGGAAACAGCAGATCCGCTTTTCCACGAGGGACGCATTTTCTACCCTAGGGAGAAACCCCACGTGCGGGATTTCTTTTGAAACAGAGCAGGGGTCACTCCCGTCGTTCTTAAGGCTAAGGAGCGAAAGACAGGGAATGACAGACTCGTGGTCTCCCGGCGTGGGGGGGGGATGTTTTTCGCAAGATCTCCGTGGCTTAGGGGGCGCACGCCCCCTTTCCACCCCCCTGAATTGTCACCCAAAGGGAAAAAGAGACTAGAGTCTCTTCTGGAAGAAATTCCAGGCGGAAGAGCCAGGCAGAATTCAAAGCAAAGTGAGTTGCTCACGGAACATTTCTACTAGCCAAACTTTTGTAAAAAGGACATTATTTCTTCAGCACAATAGAGAGGGAGGAGATGCCCTCCAGGTGATGCATAAAAAGAAAAGAATCCAGCACTCACACATAAACACAGAGACACACCCTCCATCCATTCTCCCCGTGTGTAAAGAAATCACATAAATGCTACCTGGGATCTCCGGGGAAGGATGAGGGAGGAGAGGGGAGATGGAAAGGGGGGCTTCCGGGGGACAGGAAGGATAAAACACCCCCTCCCAATAAGGCATGCAATTGCAGGACGCTTTTTAAAGCCAGAGTGGTCAGGGATCCCTAATATTTTGAGGGAGGAAGGGGAGCAGGATAAAGCCAGGCAGGCAGGCAACTATAGACTCTCCTGCATTTCCTTCTCCTCCTCTTAGAATTGCGGGGCTGGGAAGGGGACCCGGTGGATCATCTAGTCCAGCCCCTCTCAAGGAGGCCCAGGGAGGGGGATTCGAATTCCCAACTCTCTCCGGCCATCTCATGGGGCTCCTTCGAGCCCACCCGAGCCAGCCGCTGCAGGGCGCTCAACGGAAGCCAGGTCTTGCGAGATGTCCGTATTTACTCCCTTTCTATCCAGCCCTTCTACAGAGATGATAGCATTCAGGGCAGGCAATGCCCTCATTGAAAACAAACAAAGGAATAAGTTTATAGGAACCATCGATGAACAGAAATTGGACAATAAAACCGTTAAAATCAATAACCCCACAACTCAGTTTAAAACCACGAATATTTGAAATGCAAGGGGTAGCAACACCTGTATTGCTCTGGACCGGACTCCCGGTTCCAAAATTTGTATTGTGCACGAATATTTGAAATGCAAGGGGTAGCAACACCTGTATTGCTCTGGACTGGACTCCCGGTTCCAAAATTTGTATTCTGCACGAATATTTGAAATGCAAGGGGTAGCAACATCTGTATTGCTCTGGACCGGACTCCCAGTTCCAAAATTTGTATTCTGCACGAATATTTGAAATGCAAGGGGTAGCAACACCTGTATTGCTCTGGACTGGACTCCCAGTTCCAAAATTTTTATCCTGCACGAATATTTGAAATTCAAGGGGTAGCAACACCTGTATTGCTCTGGACCGGACTCCCGGTTCCACAATTTGTATTCTGCACGAATATTTGAAATGCAAGGGGTAGCAACATCTGTATTGCTCTGGACCGGACTCCCAGTTCCAAAATTGTATTCTGCACGAATATTTGAAATGCAAGGGGTAGCAACATCTGTATTGCTCTGGACCGGACTCCCAGTTCCAAAATTGTATTCTGCACGAATATTTGAAATGCAAGGGGTAGCAACATCTGTATTGCTCTGGACCGGACTCCCAGTTCCAAAATTGTATTCTGCACGAATATTTGAAATGCAAGGGGTAGCAACATCTGTATTGCTCTGGACCGGACTCCCAGTTCCAAAATTGTATTCTGCACGAATATTTGAAATGCAAGGGGTAGCAACATCTGTATTGCTCTGGACCGGACTCCCAGTTCCAAAATTGTATTCTGCACGAATATTTGAAATGCAAGGGGGAGCAACACCTGTATTGCTCTGGACCGGACTCCCGGTTCCAAAATTTGTATTCTGCAGGGAGAAGCCAAGCCAAGGTCAGATCCTGTCCAGACTCTGCCCAGCATTGCCCCCAGTCTGTCTGTCTTTTTGTCTGTCTGTTTGTCTCTGTCTGTCTATCTTCCTTCCTAGTCACGCACTTAAATGTCCACTCCAGAACCCATCGCTATTTCATGGATAAAACTGCATCTATATCCAACTCCTTATGATTTTAAATTCCCCTTTCCTAATGTTTTTTTTTTTAAATGGTAGAGTGTCTTTAAAAAATATCCGAGGAAGAGGCTTTCCTCAAAAACACAATTATTATTTCAAATACTGATTTTTTTTTAATTTCAAAATTCGTGTATCTGTATATTAGGAGATATCAGCTGCATTTCACTTTTTATTTTATTTTGCATGAATAGCAGAAACCAACCAATTCAGGGGCTGCAGGGAAACAGTTTGATAAAATAACCCCCTTTTTTTAATTTAAATGCTAATGCACCGAATTAAAATTTAATAACGGAGGAAATTGAAAAGCCAAGCAGGAATATTGGAAATAAATCCAAGCAGAAACAGCTAAAATTAAAAATTCTAGAGAGTAGGAGGATAGAAGCTAAGCTGTCTTATATGATTACATTTTTTTTCCAGAATGAAGTGGGGGGAGAGAGAAAAATCTCATCTCTGGCCAGCCTTAGGGCAGTAAATCGAAAGCTGGGTGATTTATTATTCAATTTTCCTACAGGGGAAAAAAAAGGGGCCCTCTTTCATACTGAAATATTTCATAAATTTCAAGCTGGCATAAATTCTTAATTTAGAAGTTATGGGGGTCATTTTCAGTGCAATACTGCAATTCTGGAATCTTAAAGGAATATCAACAACAGAAGGGGGGGGAGAATGAGATTTTAGCTATTATTTTTAAGTCACCACATCAAAAACTCTGTTTTGTCCCAGATAAAACCAGACAAAGACCGGAAGAGGCGAAAACAGAAAGCTGGGGAAATTACACACTGCAATTAAACTCGTTTGCTCCTGTAAGAAGTTACTTTTTCCTGTTATGTTTTTTAAGGTCAACCGCCAACTATTTATTTAATTTTTATACTGCCCATCTGACCGAGGTCCACTCTGGCCAGTATACCACGGTTTTGTCCCAGATAAAACCAGACAAAGACCGGAAGAGGCGAAAACAGAAAGCTGGGGAAATTACACACTGCAATTAAACTCGTTTGCTCCTGTAAGAAGTTACTTTTTCCTGTTATGTTTTTTAAGGTCAACCGCCAACTATTTATTTTATTTTTATACTGCCCATCTGACCAAGGTCCACTCTGGCCAGTATACCACAAACACGTAATTAAAACAGAAAATTTGAAAGAACCGAAAAATAAAGAGAATAAAATACAAATAAACAATACGATCCAAAGCATTAAAATACATTTACAGGAATGAACATTAAAAACGGCAGACTTGATCAAATTAGGCTCAATAAACTCCGCTGACTCGGCTGGTGTAATGTTTCAGAATTGCCTGCCTGAAAAATAATGACTAATGACTTTTTTAAAAAGGGCCAGCCGAATTCCAGAAGGAAGTTCATTCGGCAGGCAAGGAACAACCGCCGAATATGCCAGTTTTCTCATCTTCTCCCTCTGGGGCTCTCAAATAAAGTTCTAAACTCTGACGTCATAATTACACATTTTTCCATTTTTTCAGAGTGGCGTTGCTTTCTTTATTTTTAATATTTGTATACATTGCTCTTCTTAGCTTTAAATATGCTCTTTGAACGATTTCCCTTTAGATACTCATCGTTTTCAACTTTATATACCCTGTTCTCCCGAAAATAAGACCTAACCTGAAAATAAGCCCTAGTAGGATTTTTCAGGATGCTCGCCATAGAAGCCCTACCCCAAAAATAAACCCCAGCGCATCGTTTTCAACTTTATATACCCTGTTCTCCCGAAAATAAGACCTAACCTGAAAATAAGCCCTAGTAGGATTTTTCAGGATGCTCGTCATAAAAGTCCTACCCCCCCAAAAAAGCCCCAGCAAAGTGAAACCCCACCCTTGTGCAGCAACCAGAAGGACAGGACTGTACAGTGGGGCCTCGCAAGACGATTACCTCGCAAAACGATTAATCCGCAAGACGATTAGTTTTTGCAATCACTGTTCCGCTTCACAAGACGATATGGGCAATTTTCGCAAGACAATGATTTTTCCCCATTGGGAACTCATTAAATGGATTTCAGTGCATTCCAATGGGGAACTGCATTTCACAAGACGATGTTTCCTATGGATGATTTTCGCAAGATGATGATTTTTTCCCATTGGAACACATTAAATGGCTTTTAATGCATTCCAATAGGGAACCGCATTTCGGAAGACGATGTTTTCGCAAGACAGCATTTTTCGCGGAACGAATTAACAGCGTCTTGCGAGGCACCACTGTATTTGAATCAATGTAGATGGTTGTACATGAAAAAAATTAAAACCTCCTCTGAAAATAAGCCCTAATGTGTTTTTTGGAACAAAAATTAATATAAGACCTTGTCTTATTTTCAGGGGAAGACGGTATTGTCTTTCACTGTTGTATGCCACCCGTGGTCCTTTTCGAGAAAAAAAAAGGTGGGGTAAACGTTTTAAACAAAGAAATAAAACAAACAATTCTAGAAATAAACAAGCAATTCTCAACCACCATATTAAAGTTTTGCCTCCCTCCCTCTCTCTTTTGCTTGGGCGAAAG